GATTTAGCATCGAAAACACATGTGAATACCTTACTCCAGGAACTGGCATCCAAAACTCATTTGTCACACCATTCAGGGGTAGTTTCTGGGTTCGGCATCATCGACAGAACATGGTCTGTCTCATGGATCTCGATCTTAAATTTTTTTGTGGAGCTGTGTAATGGAAAGATTCCTTGTATTACGGAAACAATGCATTTCCAGACCTATGCATATATTTGAACTTTGTCCTCATATTTATACCGACTAAAACGATTATGCTGACAACGCCCCTAAAACATTATCTACATGCTTTATATTTTTGAGGCAGCATTCTGAACCAAATATGGATTCAAACTACGATGTGTAGGAAATCAAAATCCTTGTAGGTTTTCGTTTAGATCAGTTTATTCCGAACAACTCAGAATTATTGTGTGACTTGTTTGAAAACATAAGTTTCAGGGTCATACGTGTAGATAGGTCCAGAGACGGGTTCCACATTCTTGTACTTCAATTTTGCGCTGAACGCCATGTTCCTTGCATCGTCTTTGGTCGCATACATCACCCGTTGCAGCAGACCTGTGGGATGGTAGATGTAGTAGACGCCCATTTCTTCAATTGGGGCTTCCAGATTCTCTTTCTGTTTTTCTTGTTCTTCTGGTACTGGAGCGTTACGTTGGCCGTTGAAGTTTTTCGGAGTTGTTGGTTCTGTGGTATTTTTCTGTTGTCCTTCAACAGCTGTGGCGTTTTTGTTTTCATCCTCGGCGACCTACAAAGTAACAGTTCGTCTTCAAGTCAGGATACTTCTGATATCGGAAGGTCTTCAAAACAAATCTGATTAGAGTTTCTGGACAATAACACCGCTCAACATTGAAAATGCTTTTGTTTCAGTAATAGCAATTTCCAAAGCATTTTGTCTTGTGAAAAAAAAAATGAGAAACACTATGAAAAGTTCAGATCAGTTCTGCTTTCCAAAACATAGAACCTACTTGTGGAATAAGATCCCACTAAACACTGTGGTCTGGAAATCGTATTCACCACGGCAAAAATAGACAATTCAGAGAACTAGAATTGCCAAAGTAGCCCTTTTATTTGCTATGAAGTAGGTAACTAGTCCCATTGGAACATGAACCCAACTGCCGCTTGGGACATACTGATATCGTGGCAGAACATACTAGTAGCCGCAAAGCTATAAACAAAAATATGAGAACAATGAAATTTGAATAACGATACCCTCGAGCGCGAATGGCCGAGATGCTTACCACCCTTTTTTGCTAAACATCAAGTAATCAAAATAGCAGACAACGGTCTAACAGCCCAAAAAAATGATACTTATTCTTGTTTTATTTTTTATCCTCATTACCTTCTTTTGACACTGAACAGCTAGGACTGACAAAATGAACACAAGACAGTGACTCATGGGCAGAGGAGTCTCCTCACTTACCTTATATTGAGCTGGCTGATAGTAGAATACCTGTGGCTGAGGCTGCGACGGTTGTACCAGCCTAATGAGGCTTCCAGGCACGACACCTTGTTGAGCTGGTGGCTCTGCATTAGACAGAGCCAATACAGCAACGAAGATAGCGTAAATTGAGTACATTTTCACTGATTGTTGTGTTTGTTGTGTAACTAGTAAGTTGGTGTTGATGACTGATGTCTGTCTAACAAATCGCTGGACGTTATATACTTGTAAATGCCCTCATAAGATCGTCGGTCATTGTGCACCGATGATATAATTTGCAATGACCCGATACAGGTGTCGGTCGAGTTATCAGTTAATTTATTCATATCAGGTGCTGAGGTTACAAGGTAAGTTCGAGAGAATATGTGATATCGATGAAAATGTTGGAGAGACCTTGTCTATAGTACAACGAATACATCACATCTCACAAGCAGACCTTATACCTTTCTGGTCACCGACTTAGCCGAAGCTATATGTATTGAAAGAGACTTGCTAGTGTATATTCCTAAAGTTCTAAGGTGCACAATTTGAATTTCTCACCATTTGTCAGCAATCATTTGGTTGGAAGCAATGAAATTAAGGAATTGATTTTGTTTTTTAAATAATACAGAGGACGTTGAGTTATTGTTTGTATTAATTACCTGTACATCTTATTGTATAACAATTGTCATAAAAACAAACTTTCAACTGGCATCAGCTTCAAGACATAAGAAAAACATATCATTAGACTGCATTTATACTTTGGAAAAGATACCTTTGGTCTGAAAGTTTAGATGTAAGCCATGCGTATTCAGTCATTTTCTTACGAAATGGTGCTTATAACTGGTGTTGGATTAATGAACGAAGTCGTAGGAATCTTCACGGTATGAGATTCAGCACTTTTATGCAACTAAGTATGAACAGTTCTGGCTTCTTTTAATATAATTTTTGATTAACCGGTGAAAGTAAACATCTCATGGTTGACAAATTGTAATGCATTTCGGATTAATAATTTTTACAGTACACGTTGTCAGATCTTGCATTCAAGCATTTTTGGAACTTGGGCGGATGATGAGACTGACCCTTTATATAGAAATGTCTTCCCTATTTTTAAGGTTGTGCGCCTGAGGACTTTGAGGCAAGGTCGGTGACCCAAAGAGTGCAGGGTCTTCTTTTCAGAGTAATTTCGTGCAAGTCCCATCAAATACCTTTTCATGTTGCCCACGAAAAGAAAAATCTAAAGAAGACCAGACTGCGAGGAAAAATCTAAGCTACCAAGCGTATTCCCTGGGAGTTAGTTAGTTCTTGGAATAAGGGAGTTGAAAGATCAGAAAACCTGGGCGTGGTTCTGTTACATTTCGAAGAACACTGAGAGAAGAATCATTTGCAATGTAATAACCCAACCCAACCTCTACTTTACTCATACTCTACTCTTACCCAGCCTACTTTAACTCACCTCTATTCCAAATCGAACACCATGAACGCAGCTCATTATATATTTATGTTCCTGATGATGCCAAGATTGCCAAACTTCTTTTATTTCTAATATAATTTGAGATTCTATCAATTCATGACTGAGCGATGGAAAGTTCAGATACTTACGTGATAACAGTATGGGATTTTAAGGAAATCAATGGTTGCCAACGTTGTTATATCTTTGATGAGCACCCTTTCTGGTCTAGATAAAAAAAGGAGCAGGATATAGAAATCTTCTACTATCAAAATACATGGACATTGTTCATCGTGAATCGACTGCTTTTCACAGCCACCAACAAAAATGGCCATGCACCACAAGAAGAACAACAGCTGTCTCAATTATCATAAGACACCAGTAACTTGTAGGTGTATCTGTCTTACTGGCCTTCATGCTTGTATCCTGAGAGACTAAATTCATTTATAAGGTTTGTTTCACAGTAGTGGCTGTAAACTAAAAAAAATGGCTTTAAATGACACCATGTTTATCAGTAGGTGTTGACCCCAAGTTATAAAATATGAAAAAAAATATTATATTACAGTTGCTAAAACGAAAAATTTCACATAGTAACAGTTCCATAAGTATAGGACTTTACACAGAAAAAACATTTAAAACCGATATGTTTACGAAATATTTCCATTAATTTTTCTGAGCGTATCCAATAAACAAATATATCCGATTTAGTATGCTCCAAGGTATATAATTTTAATATGCGTTTTACGGCGTAAAGCAACCTTTAAATTCGGACTGTGTGCTGAATTTAAAGTGATTAAGCATTTTGTTTGAGAATATAAAAATATTTGAACGCAATTTTTAGAATGAGATTATTACAATGTTCCTTAGATAATTGCTTTATTTTACCTGGGTCTCTTCTCAGTCACGAAATCTGTAACCCCTAAATTGGCAAATTCTCAACAAAATGTCACTGCTGTAGTGAAGGAAAATAAGGTTTATAATTGTTGACAATCCAAAAGCGAATGAATAATAGTAAAAAACCGCCCTTTTCCAATAGAGTGTATGTGTAGTTTCTACATGTATATCACAATCTTGACGGTGGATGCCTTATTGTATTTAGAATGACCTTACTTTACTTCTGACTATAGAAATTAAAATTCGCCGACTTGCGGTGACCGCCATATTGTGCTTAGATTGACTCAGCGTGCTGATCGCGTGTCTCTCGTCAAGCCCTATCGTTTGACATCCATATCATAGGGAAATGATGAATTTCCATTTTGTAGCATTCGCCATATTAGATTCAAAATGGCGGCAGTTAATTCATTTTTCATTCCTACGCCAACCAAACTAGTGTACAAAATTCATCTCAATTGGTTAAGGTAAGCGAGTTTAAAACTCAGTTCCATGATTTGTCCCAGACATACTAACAAACACGTGATGTCAAATATTAGCATGTAAAAAATAATCAAACTACTCAGACTAACCCAGATGCGCAATTCAGCCTCACGATACGGCAGTTACTCATGCGAAGTTGGGGAAAGCAGCTAGCTGAAAATATACCTAAATTTCTAGATTACGATATTGTCAAATGGGTAAGGACTAATTACATTGGCTTGCTTGAATGACTTGATCCATTTAGCCTTGTTATGTATTTTCGTCGTTAATCTTCTCATAGGAGGCTAAGTTGTGACATCGTTGCGTGGGAAGAGATAAATCTTCTTGACGCTTTTTTAGGTAGCCTTCCACTACATGTATCGCCTACTTTGTTCTGCACCAAAAATACTCGCAGGTTTCCAGTAAATTGAATCACCAAAACTAGAGCATCTATTTTACCCCGAATCCAGAAATACGTCGTCGACGTATCGGTATCGATACAAACAAAATGTTTATGGTATCGACATCCTAAGGCCTCCAAATCTAGGCCAGGACATATTTGAATCCGTATGTTCCGAGTTCGCCAAATACGCTCATCAGTATTCAGAACATTTCTGTGCGGAACATTGAAAAGAATACAGAACAGCCTACCAAGAGTGTCGACTGGGTGTACAGCGGAAATATGTAGGGTTATGTCACCAATAACATTCCTTAATTATGAATATACAATAAACATATAAATAATAATTTAATATTTATTTTTGCTAGTAATCGATCGTTGTTGATATCGACACCATGAGAATTTTTGTGCTTTTGATTCTTGTTGGGCTTGCGACATGCCAGGTTGAGCATGCGACGGATATCGAGATTCATCAGGTATGAAATAGTTAGTAAAAAGTCTATTAAATTTTTAAGTCATTTTCCTGGTAGTTGTATCTTGGAAGATTTAAGTGAATCTCGCGTTGTATATATTATGTGCAAATTTCGGATTATGAATTTCTGGCTGAATAGAAAATTACATCACTTGAAAATTCTTTGGAAGCAGTTCATATCAATGAAATAAAATTTCGAATTGAATTCCTGATAAAACAACTCAGCTATTCAAAATTGAGCAGCTACTCTAATAATGAAAAAAGTTGGAATTTGTGGGTGGCACATTCATTTATTTTCAAGTAGTTCAGTAGCAAGCAAAACTATTCTAAACATAGCTTGCTTTCAGAAGCTTATTGGGAAGCTTGTAAGTTTTCTCGATTTGTCTGCTAGTCTTTTCAAAGCCTCATGATTAGTTCAGTTTCTTTTAACTCTGATGCTTAAAGCCTTCTACAATCCATCATTGTACGGTGTGTCCCAATATTTGAAATTAGTGTCTATTTTAAACGACTTGAACTAGAATTTTTATTATTTACACGTGCCATCTAGAGACCCGGCGATCTAAATAAGGATCATTTTACTTTGCAGTTATCGATTCTTCATCTTTTTATGATTCCTCATCAATGTTGAGCAAACGTACTACCAGTACGATTATTAAATCTGAAATTTTCATAAAAATTACGATGGTAAACAATAGTGGCGAGTATTACCAGATATATGCACCTTCGCAGTATGGTCTTTCAATAAGATAGGTCCACGTTTCATACGATGCGGTGAGACGTTTTTCTGGGAGCCTCATGACTTCTCGCAATGGACGTATTCACTGATTTTCAGATCATCCAATTGAACTCCGATTGAGATTTTTTGTGAGTATTCCACAAAAAGAGATCTATTTAAGAAATCCACAGGCGACTAATGACCTGAGGAAAAATATTAATCAAGTTGTTGCTAGAACTGAGTCGTAATTGTACCAAAGAGATACCGAAAATTTAGTTCCAATAATCGGCATTTATAGAAACAGTTGAGAATACTATTTATAAAGCATAGCTGCCCCACTTCTTTATTTCGGTAATAGAGCAAGTTACTTGTCCAAAACTGGTAGTTTTATCTAAGACCAAAATCTCCAAGGACATCTTTTATGATGTGAATTCATTATAAGTGCAGTAAGCCTCTCAGTTTTGTTTTCTTTTAGAGTTCATTAGCAACGATGTTAGAACTCGCCCAAAATCTAAAGTTTAAGATCCATTTCTTTGGATGCTCAGTGAACTTTGATTTCAAAATTTGGAAAGAATGATACACCCTTAGAGGATCTGATGGTTCGAGGTCCAAGTAATAATTAATACAAATAAAACGTATCCTTTACCCCTCGATGTTTCAGGGTGATAAACTTAAGCGATGTGCTGCCCATATGGTTTTCAAAAAGTAAGTTCCGAGCTTAATTTTTCATTCATCTTGATTCACTATGATTCCCGCAATACAAAATTACTACACTGGCTCCATTTTATTGGAAACCGTACTGACAGTCAAATTTTTGGAATGGATTTTGCTTGAAGTTTATTTAATGGCGCTTGCAGGTATAGTCAGTTGACTGCGAATAGGATTGTAGTCTAAAAATCTTAGGATCGCGTTTCGAAAATTAGGAGGTTTTTTGCTGATAATATACTTTCTATGATTTGCAAAATTCATTCTAGTTTTTAGTTTCTAATTAAAATAGAGGCAGAAAATGTGAAACATTTCACATTGATGTGCTCTTAGCACCATTATTTTACTTACCGCTATAACTTGGAAAGTTCTAGTCTAGATTTTGAAGTTTTGACAAAAGCTTGCGACTGTGCTAAAGATGATCCGTTTAGTAGTTTTTGTAAACGGATCTGGTGGCGACGGAGTTACGTGAAAAAAAAAACGGAAATACAAAAATCACTCAAACATCGTTTTTTAACGTTTCAGAGGCTCATGATCATTTTTAAGTTTTTTTAGTGGTCAATAATTGGAGTTAAGGGAATGTAGGGCTATGGGCAGTATATAGTAGTTTCTGGCGTTAGTATATTTATACGCTTCCAGGCGCAGTAATCCCACGCAAATATTAGGCATGTTCCATAAATCACAGACTTTTCGTACATTTGCACTTAAATGATATTTTACATACATGTGTCTCTCAGTCATAGCAACTTTTCGAGATGGTGGTCAGTAATGACAAATTTATAGATTGCAACGCATTCAAATGACTATGAACTGAATGTATGAGCCTGTTTGACTTATTTGATCCATGTAATGACTGTGTTATATACGTTCACCCTTTTTTAAATTGGCCAACTTGTGCCGAACGTAATCTTTTAGGAACCGCTGACGGCGCTGCGTAAGAAGTGTAGAGCCAGCATACTTGATTCTATTTTTTCGCTTACTTATTTGGCTACTATACTTGACTTTAAATAGCATTCGGTAGTCAATAATCCGACATTGATGCCTATTGCAGTACCTACATTGTTTGCATGATAATTGTGGTTTTTGTATATTCAACTGGAATACCGTGGGATGATTCGCTGTCATTTCTACTACTTCTATTTGGTAAATAGAGCGACAAAAAAAATAGGGACGATAGGTCAAGGGCAGATCTACAGCATATCAAAAAATGACCCTAGTAAAAGTTTTACTGTTTTTGACGTATTAATTTTTTTATATCTCTTTTTTTAATCTATCTTTTGTTGCTGTGCCTAGAAATAACAGAATATCTGTTTGTTTTTTTGTAAAATATTCTCAGATAGTTGGTCTGCCATTTTAAATATCAGTTTCATTAATTGAAGTAGGTAAACTTGTCAAACTAATTTCTTCTCCGTAATTTTTATTTTAGAAAACTATTTCACTCCAGTTTGGTATTCAGCAATGAAATAAATATGTACTAGACTGCTACTGCAAACTACTGCGATATATTACCTGCTTTTTCTGAAAAAGACAAAAAAAATAATACCTCAAAAACAGTACAACTTTTACTAGGATCATTTTTTGGAATGTTGTAGATCTACCTTTCGTCTATCTTCCGCTTTTTTTTCGTCCTATTTATCGGACAATCTCTGTAAACGAGAAACTGATACACTAAGAATGCAAGTGAACGTGTCCACCATTTTCATTACATATCATCGTTTTAATTTCCTAAAATATGTGTATCTCCTCAATTTTGAACGCAGGTTGAGGTGACTGAGATCCCTTGGTCCTCCATCGACAAATTTGTCGAATCTCTGCCACCATTCAATACAGAACAGCCCTCAGATGCTGAAGGTACCACCACAGAAACTCCGACAACTACCATTAGCGCTAAATTGACAGAAGCAGACGCTCTGGAAGAGAACGGAGAGTACTATGTTTACCATCCTGAAGGGTTGCTACAAAGGATCGTGTACGCCACCAAAGATGACCCACAGAAGATGGAGTATACTGCTCAGTTGAAGTACCAGGACGTGGAACCAATCAGAAGTCCTGTTTATACTTATGACCCTGAGACATTAGCATTAATCAGATTGAACAAATAATTTTTTGTGTTGAACAGTACTATTACGGGTTATTGTAAGATACGTACGTATTTGTTAAGACTACCTACTTTATTTTTTTAAATGCCAATATATTATTTGTTGCACTTATATAAATATGCTTGAATGTTTTGTGGTCCTTACATGAGGAGTTCAGGCTAGTTTTTCTCTGGATACCTGGCTGCAGTTTGTTGAAGGCCTTCAGCCCACTGGTGGTTCAGAACGGCTCTGTCGCATTCTGTGAAAACTCTGATAAAGCAAAGAATGTGACCAGTGACCACACGTTTCATATTCAATTGTTAATGTAGGATCGCAAAACGCTGTCTGTTACATCTATGGTAAAGTCAACACTCCGAGGTGCAAGTAGGGTTGTATTCTAAGCACAGACTGACAGACTGTGAAACTACCATTGATATAGGATCTCAAGTCATAACGTCTTCAGACATCGGGTCAGGCCAGGCTTTTTATTGTACAAATCTGTCAAATTGAAAGAGTTCTATGATTTGCACAACCATCGAGTATAGTGTCGTAGTCTGGAAAAGCTGTTTTCTTAAACATGGAAAAGTGAATACGTAACATCGTGTCAGGCAAAGAAGGTAAAGTATATTGTGAAATATCCTCACCTTCACTTGTGAAGTATACATGTAGGAAATATTTTCGTTTGCCCATTCAAACACAGTTTGACAGACTGTGAAACTACCATTATTATAGGATCTCAAGGGCATAAATCATAACGTCTTCAGTCATAGGGTCAGGCCATTTTTTTATTTTATAAATGTGTCAAACTGAAACAATTCTATGATTTGCACAAGTGAAACGTTTCTCTGGAGATATTTCTTTTTTCGTACACAATTTTCATCATTAATTTTTGTGTGGCATTGCAAAGAAACATGATGACTTGTGCACTGGTGATGCAATGTAGGCGAAATAGACATTTATAATGTTTCACAGGTTAGTTTACTGTAAACCCATGATGCAGGAATGAACTAAGGCTTTCCCAGTTGCTACACTGATACTGATGTATACGGAATGAGTATCTTAAGCCAGACCTGTATCACCATTATACAAAATAATCATTATTTGCTCAGCCCCCTGACGCCGTTTTATACTCGTATAGCTAAAAGAGATTCTATTAGCGCATCTCATACTTGATGCATCTCTATTTTGATAGAAAACATGTTACGTTATGAATACCGCGAAATTTTTCTTCATCTTTGAAGTGAAGGGTGCACGTTTTGACACTTGTCGTATTCATTCATGAAAAACTAAAAAAGGAAAAGTATTTGAAATTCTGTCGAACAATTCTTTAACACGCTTTCATTAGCTTGACCTGTATGTATGTACAAATATGTGTATGTATGTATGAGTGTAGGCATATGTGTGCGTGTATTATTACAGAAGTCGGAAATTTTGAAATAAAATTGGGAATTTTGAAAAGATTTATTTTCAAATATAAAATATAGTAAAGCTCTTGATTATAAGTATTTTTGTTGTCATAGTCGATTGAAAATTCAGAAGATAGATTATATTTTAAAAAAAGTAACAAAACCCGCCTTAATAGTGAGTCGAAAAACAGAAAATATTTATCAAGGAGAGGTTGTCTTACAGCAATAAAAAGTCCTACAAACAGCAATAAAAAGTCCTACAATCAAGTTTGACTTACAAATTTGGAACAAGACCAATCTAAAGATTAAGATAATAACAACAAATTCAAGATGCAATCAACTATAATTTCATTATAATTCTAATTTTGTAAAAAGCAATCGAGTTTCCCACGCTTTATTAGTATCATTCAAAGTTTTGTTAATATCTGAATTTTTAGGTTGATCTTATTCCAAATTGATCGGTCATACCTACTTGATTGTTGAACTTTCTGTTGAAGTAACTCTCCTATATTTAAATTATTTTCTAAGTTTTAGTTCGATTTGCCAGTAAAGCGTCTTTTTTATTGAAATCGCGGAAATTTTCGAAAATGAGATATTATGTTTGTTGGATGCTATATGACATGTACATCGCGAGGAAGCATGAAACCCATTTCCGTCGGTTTATAGGTCGGTCTGTCTATCTGTCGCAAACGCTTTGTAGTTTTTGAAAGCCGGTCCAGTAGTGGCATAGAAAAAGGCCAAAAAAAAAAACGTTTTCTTTTAACGTTTCAGACAAAAACATGTATAGGGACTAATAATTGAAGGTTAGGGGTTGCAGGAGATGCGGGAGGCGATATCTCATATTTTTGCCGTTCGTAAATTTATATACCTCCAACCCCAGTAATTCTACGCATATATTAGACACATTCCATCCATCATAGGTGTCCCTGCAGATTTACCCTTACAACTTGGAAACATCCCCTACAGTTGGGTGTCGATGCGTGCGACGTCATCCCCCGATGGACAAGCGTGGTGGTGATATGCCACAGTCGACAATCCCTTCCGCACAACCCACAGCAGTGTGCGCTGTATATGGTGAAGGCCAATATCCTCATCCACGCGGGATTGGTCATCGCAACGATCATGTGCGCCTGCAGCAGTTCCTCTTAGGGGGAGAAGGACGGTCATTTAATTTTTTGTTGTACATGTTCGTCGTAGCTAACTTTTTTCTCTGAAGGGCTAACTTGTGCCAATCATAATTCTTCAAGATCTTATAACAACATAGCGTGCGAAGTACAGAGTCAACTTACTTGACGCCTTTTGTTTAAAGTATAATTTATTTCGGGACTACCGTAAAACGTCTGTCAGTACATATTAGTACTACCACTACGCTATTACCCAACTAACAATTATCACTCCTATTTGAGTTGCAAGAATGATTATACATTATTCCTTACACAGCATTGTATACTGTAAGAACATTGGCAAAACCCTCTTACAACAGCTATACAAGCGGAATGGACACACCTAGTAGGACACTTCAGTCATTTGAGAGGTTTTATAAGGGCTGCAGGTAACAGTTATACAACAAAAGTGTAAGCCTCTTGCAGCCGCTATAGAACATTTGCGTCAGTGCAAGATTCAGTTTTTGTCAACTATACAACTATCCTGTTACGTGATTATACTTTATTGCAACCAAACTATTTCTTATATATTGTATAGACGAAGTGAAGAATATATAACTAACACAATACAGTCATCTTGTTTACTTAGGGTAATTCCGGTAGAGATCGACCACCGGGAGAGACCGACCACTGCCGGTAACTTAACCACAAAGCAATAGATGAATCCGTGACTCACATGTATGATGCGATTAGTTGACCTTGTTACATGGAACACGTAAACACGCCCCGTAACAGTAGTATAAATGTACAAATTAAATTTAAAAATTTGTGCAAACTTGACAATTTTTTGACTGATTTACTGTGTTCGTGATATTTTAAAGAAGGGTAAGTTTAATTGAACTGTTTCAATACTGGATGATAAAATATGCATCAAACTATAACATAACCCCAAAAATGTAGGCATTTATCATTTTTCCTTCGGTTAACAAGGTGGTCGATCTCTCCCGTAACTTTGGTAGAGTACGACCACATCAATCCGGGAGAGACCGACCATGGAAATAATAACAGTAATAATGAAATATTCGGCGGTCTGAAGGAAATTAGTGATACAATAAAGCTCAATTTGAAAAAATAAATTTATTGTAAAGTAATATTGATACAGATTAACAAACATGCCCACGACTTACAAAAGGAAAAATGAAGAGAGAGCTAAATGGAGTGCCGGTTCTTTAAGAAATGCAATTGAATGTGTACAAAATCTTACATTGGGTGTAAATGAAGCCGCCAGACAATTTGGAATACCTAAAACAACGCTAAAAGATAGGATTAAGAAGGGGGACGCAATAAAACAACACAGATTAGGTCCGTCATCAGCGTTGGAAGAAGATGCAGAACCAAAATTTCATGCGACACATAAAAAAATTGCAAACATTTGGATTTGCACCAGATCGAGAGTCCGTCAGAATATGGGCTTTTCAACTTGCAGAAAAATTAAAACTGAAGCACACGTTAAATAAAGAAAGAGGCAAGGCCGGTTATGATTGGCTTAACTCGTTTTTACGTCAACATCCTGATATATCGATTAGAAAAGCCGAAGGAATTTCTATTAACCGAGCGACTGGAATGAACTGTCTGTCTGTGAAACACTATTTTACCCTTTTAGAAAATGTTCTCACTGTTCCCACTTGTTCCCAAAACTAACGCAAAAGCAGTAGTTAAAACACGAGGTAGGCAGCTTGCAACTATTTTAAACAGTTCACAACGAATTGAGACTCAGAAGGATAAAAAGAAAACAAAGAAAAAAAACAAATGTCCAATTCAGAAAAAAACTGTGGTTAAACAGAAAAGAACATTAGAAGATTCAGATTCGGAGAGCGAATGTCCAGTATTGCAGGAAAGTGATACATCAGCAGATGAATGAAAGCGAATGCGTAGAATGTGGGGAACATTATTTTAAAACCACTAAGAATGACGAATGGCTCAAATGTGTGAACTGTAGTCGTTGGTTTCATAATGGATGCTCAAAATTCGAGACTATTTGCGATATATGCGGAAAATTTAACAAGAGAAGTCGAAAAAATTAAATGTATTTATCCGATTTAATTCTACCCTTATTATTATACTGTTCAAACATGTTTTATTATTTTATGTTTTCTTATTTTAGTCGATCTCACCCGTAGTTGGTGGTCGGTCTAACCCGGACATCCGGGTGAGATCGACCAGTTACAATGTTTAAACTTTTAGTTCAAAATAAACATTTATGTTTGTATTATATCTTAAATTGTGATTTATTTACTATCCTAACCCTTTAGGTAATGCTTCAACAGTTAAAAAAACGTGTACCTCAGAAACCAAAATATCTACAATATGTTTTCCAAAATGTGGTCGATCTCTCCCGGACTTACCCTACATATCGGCCATTGTGAATTTCATACACAGGTATATGATAAACTTCTACATATAGGGCTATTGAATTACTTGGGCAGCAAATTTTATTGTGATTATCGTGCAAAGTAGTTACGCAAATTCTACGGGCTTCGTATTTGATTCATATTTTGATAATGATCAAAAGTATGTCTAGATTTTTAAGATGGAAAACTGAACTTATCTGCGTTAAATCTTCCACAAATCCTATATTTAGACACAATTACATTAATGTTTATCACTTTATATCTGTAATTTCGAACTGAAACATAATTATTTATTATCAAATAGAGAAATATATGTTTGCCCAATATGGCGGGTGGTTGTGTATAATCATGGCATCATCCATGTTGTCTTTAGGTTATTAGAATATTTTGGTGTTGCCTGCAGGTGTTATACAACAATTTGACAAATGTCTGAAATGAAATACCGACAGAGTCGAATGATTCATCCAGAATTTGTACCAGATCTATATCTTCTATTTGAACAGTTGATAAAACATTTTGAACCAATATGCATGCGTTGTTTGTCTTAAAACATTGGTTATGGCCTTTTAACTAAAATATGACAGCAGAAAGTTAGGTTACGGTGAAGTTGTATACCAACATATTTAGCAGTTACTAAACAACAGTTGTATAAGTGCTTCCGTTGGGAGCAATTTGTTGGCTAAAGTAGTAAATTTGCACAGCAAAACAACAAGGCTCGGGTTTGTTTTATAAACGTTACCATGGATGCCACAACACAACCATTTTGACTAACCTGCAAATATGCCGTATAAAATATTTGTTTAAATGTTTATGCATCAGTTAAAAATTTGTCCTATAAGGTGTTGTGCAACTATGCTATAAGAATATTTTTAACACCTCATTTTAGAGCAAATATGTTGCAGAAAGCAAATTTGCATTCCACTCAACATTAAGCCAGCATTTTGGTGTTCAGGCAACAACAATAGAGAGCTTGTATGGCTGAACGGTTCTTTTACCAAAAGCTTATAGCACTACTTTGCTAGTTGGGTAGCATGTCTCTAGGTATACATCGCTATACATTGAGAGTGATAAGGAATGATGTTGGTCTCGATGCTGCCCTATCGGCATACCACGCGTTTGTTCAGTCTAGAATTATGAATAGACATGGTCTGGTCTTCTGGGGCAGCTCGCGGTATATAAACAGGGTATTGATTCTTCAAAAAAATGTATAAGGACCCTATTTATATTTCTTTAAACAGAAATCTGACGATGCTACAAATAAATATAATCACATGACTAGGCATGAAGAAGAGCTTATCCCAGATAAGTGTAACTTGATTTTTATACAGAAAAATGCTGTTAAGAAAATGTTCAATAGTGTTCATTTAAATGTACGTAATTTACCCAAATAAAAAGTTATTTTATGTCTAAGGCACTTCACTCATTAAATGATTTTTTTGGAGGATAAGGATAGACTTACTCTAGAGTTAATTTAGAATAGTTTTAACTATATACATATACATAGTTTTATTGATAACGTTGACTATATGGAAAATTTTTGTAGCTAAATATAATTATTGTACTTGTTTATGAGTGCAAAGGCACATGAATCCCGAATATTTGTAACTGTGTATTTCTTTTATAATTAATTTTAGCTCGCTAGTATACTTCTCTTTAACAATGTTATATGCCTCGACTAATGAATAAATATCTATCTATCATACCAATGCCACACTTCATGTGATAGATGATAACATCCATTATATCTCAGGTTTTGTTAGAACTCCTAGAGCAATTATATTTTCTTCTATAGAGTATAGTGTCGTAGTCTAGAAAAACTGTTTTCTTATACATGGAAAAGTGAATAAGTAACATCGTATCAGGCAAAGACGGTAAAGTATATCGTGGAATATCCTCACCTTCACTTGAATTGTGAAGTATACCCGTAGGAAATCTTTTCGTAGGCCCATTCCGGTGACTTATTGCCCATTACATTTGAAGCGTGATGTTTTATTCCCATAATGTGTGGAATTTGTGTGAACGTCGAATCCGTGTTCCTTTGCAACAACCAATTCAGTTAGTAAAATTAGCAAACTTCTACGATTTGTCACATAGGACGCCTTCTGGGACCTGAGCCGTTTCACAACATGCTTAGTTATGTTGTTCGGCGTAACTTTGGAGTATGGTGCAGTGTAACATTTCAGTGTTCGCGTATTAGTATCCCTGCTAGAGTACCATAGCTAGCAGGAATTTCTATTTGCTGAGTAATCTTTATACTACAGCTTCCATTTTGTTTTGTTTATAGAATACAAAAAATGAAAAAGTGTCATTAGGTATAGAACAATCCATGGAGAGAAACACTTTGAAACCCTATAACAGTCGTAACTTAGTATCAGACTCGTAACAATAATCTCTCCTTAACCTTTTCAGTTTAGTCTTAGTGTTTAGCCTTACTGATATTTCCAAGAGAAAGTCGTCCATAAAGACTTTCAGTATATCTTAATCATGGTCAGAGTCGTCGTAAGCTATGTAGGAAGTTGACGGCCCACGGCTGAAGGTTACCCAGACCACAGCAAAATCTAGGGCCTTGTTTTGCTTTGAAAAAAAAGAGCAAGGCGTGCTTACGGATTTCGACTTTTGGGCATTTGGGGGGCATCCATCAAGTCGGAGAGTCTGGACTCCGTGTGTCCATGGTGCAAAGACGGAGAGACGGAATGAATTATTATCAGTCATATAGGTTTTGTGAGTCTAACCACAGATGGCCAACCATGGACTGCTGCTTTGTCCTTTTTTGTAACTCATCAGTATCATCTAGGCTTGTTCTCAGGTAGGATAATGTACGAAAGCTAGGCAACGATCAACTAGTCACAAGGTACAGTCTATCCAAATAAGTCAGCACAAGGTGTGCAAGAGTGAAACAGTAAGTTGTATGTTGGAACTGTATCTTTATGTATACCAGTTCGCTTTGACAGCCTTGTCGTGCTTTAGATGCCGCCGATTTTGGTGGTGAGGTAGATACAGTCTACTCCCATGCAGGAGCACAAAGTCTATTAACAGAGTTGTCAAAAAGCGCGAGATAGCTGTCCATGGTTAACCGTCTGTGGTCGGATGAACTGAAACTACATTACTAGTTTGTTCAATAACGAGTAACCTGAATCTAGTATACCACCAGAATCGGCGGCATCTAGCGGCTGAACGGGTGGGCCGGCTGACCTAATGTGAACTGAAATATTGTAGAACAATTGTCTCCAGGATTTTTCAATTTGCCTCGCCTCTTCTATCACCGTTCAGTCTATGTTTTTGCATGCCTCAGATTCCAGTCCAGGATCGTCGTAATTACTGACTTATTCGTCCTTCTTTATAGTCTTTATAATATATGACCAAGGCTGGTACACTTTCTCTACTTATCTCAGGTCCTTATTCATTTCCGGCACGTGCTACACAGTTTTTCCTTCGTCATTGTCATCCATCAGTGTTCGCCTAGGCTGCTGCCATAGGTTGGGTTACTGCCAAACTCAAGAAGGAGGTCTGTTCGAACATTTAATTTAATATTTAAGTTTCATTTTGATTAGAATTGCTTATTTCAATTTCGATGCCACTTAAGTGTTTTAATTTATTTACGAATTATCTTTGATTTTTACCGATGGTGATAAAATCAACAACTCCTTAGTTACTGTTACATTTGGCGACACCGCTGTGGTCGGAAAATATAACTAATAACGTCTCACAATACAAATTATCACAGTCTCCGTGTATGTAGGTGAAAGCCATTTTGAAGTAGGACGACATTCCCCTACGAGTGCTAAGTGGGTACTGACTAGACTCGCTAATCTGTGATCATGGAGGTGGAAACTTTGCCTCGAAATGTATAAGGTGCGGTGTTATCAGACAAGCCAATGATATTATTTTCCAGAATTTGTGGCGATTTTGACCTTTCATTTCGATCTAAAATAGGGACCGACCGGGAATCAATCCGAAACGGATTTGATACAATTCACGATCCAGAAATGTGTGCGCTTAAAATAAAACCATCATTTGGGCGTAAAGAATAAACTAACGCATATGTTCAATATGTATCTTAATTGAAGGAACTGGTGTAACATAAAGGAAACATGGCAGATTGCCGCGTCAGCGCTGCTATTCAACGGGATGATGAACTTCGCTATCCCGGCATCTTCTATCTCTTCTAACGTATGTGTCTATACACACTTCTCTCTCGTAAACATTGAACTCGCTGTCAGACAAATTTGGTTCTCAGTGTATGTACCATACACATCAGTAAGGGATACAAAGCTATTAAAGCTATTTATGTTTACAGGAATTCACCTTCAGCGTTCGAAGGTTCTATTAATTGTAAATTGATATCAATAGAAATCACCCCATCCGTTTGCGTGGTCGTCGTCGATCTAAGGAATTATCGAAAATGCAAATACCGTAAACCCCTAAGCGATACCGCTTCTATCGAGCACTCCAGGCCTCAGTTTCCTGATTATCCAGATGCATTTCGATCGCCTCTGTGGCTCCCTATCCT